TCGTCAAGACAGAAAGTCAAAAACAACGTTTGAACAGCTCACGGCAGTGTTGATTTCAACGCAGAGTTAAGGTTAAATGTTGGAATTACCGAAGGTATTAGTTTATTTCCTTTCAGGCCGCAAGTCTCTTCAGTAAATGTGGAGATTTAGAAAACTAGTATGGTCCTACTAGACAAAATGACTGAGAACAAGCACTTTATTCCATCTTTTGCGCTTCTCACGGTGACGAAACTTAATGGACGTCAATCAGGAGACCAACACGTGCACGGATGAAGGATGTAGGCAGATATGCATTTAAAGAGCAATTATTCTTTCTAACAGCAGTGAACAGTGCCTCAAAGAACGCGAAAACTTCTGGCTGTTAAAATTTATCATCCAGGAATATATAAATTCGTGATCTTTAACCGTAGGTATCAATAACTCTCCAGTACTCATTGAAAATACCAACGAAAAGAAACAATGTCGTCACCGTTTTTCCTGAGCCAATGCGTTCAGCAACTAAATTCAACAGCGTCGGCATCAAGGGTCAATCCATTGATAGGAATATACAGTAGTCCGTTTTTCATTTCCCTTGTTTTTACTGGTAATCGCTCAGATAAAGTGCACTTTTGATGCCCTGATCTGGTAGTTCAGCTTAACGTACTTTCTTGTACATTTATGTATACTTAAATAGGACTTAAGATATTTAATGCTGAGATCATAGTCAAAAAGGTAGGTGATTTAGCGACCGGTGTCTCAGGGTACCAAATGCAACAGATAGTGAAACCATTATTGCCTACTTTATAGACCAACTGTTTCAAATTTATTATTTTTTTGTTACGTTTGGGTTATTTTATTGCGCTTTTCTTTGTCGTGAAATGTGTGATGTTCACTGTCAGTCAGGAGATGCTTGGCAGGTTGCGTTATTCCCACGAAGCTTTCAATGTTCAATAAAACTGCTGAACAACTTTCTCCAAAGCCATTCAGGGAAGTATTAGAGACGGCAATCTTTCGTGATGCTCAACATCGAGATGACATGATCATTATATTTATATGCTCAGTGTAAAATACTACTATTTATTTGCTCTATGCAATCATTAACTGTGATAATTGCACATCTTTGTATATGCTGAAAAATAAACTCCATTCAAGCAGTAATCTTTCAAACTTAAACAACTTAGATCGTCGAGTTGCACCTGCAGTTGCAGATTGAGATTTAGACGAAGTAGTCTAAGTCTAGGTATGATTATCTTGACATTATCTGGTTTTATTTCTTACATTATAGTCTTACGCAGTGTTTGCAGCATAGTCGTTCTGCAAGATCGGTATACGGCAATATATATTCCGAGACTCTTTTCTTTAAAAATCTCCCTTTTCTTAACACTGTGTACAGTCTTTCCGCAATAAAAAACTTTCAAACTTTCCCTGCTCGAAAAGTTCGGTGTAGATTAAGTTTATGAACTTTAAATCAGAGCTACTTCATTATGTTCCGACCGCTGTCTTCCGGCTATATATTATTGATTTATGCACTATATCCTTCCTAATATTTCGCTGAGAGGCGACATCGTTTCATTCTTTGAGTTTGGGTAAAATTGCTGTTGCTTAAATGATTTCAGTAGCTATCAAACAAACTTTTCAGTTAGCTAAATAAAACGCTGTTTCACGGATGATTTCAACGTCCAAATAAATAATTTTCAGGGTCCCTTCTAATGAATAATTTTCGTGGAACATGTCACGGCCGCGAAAATTGCATTGTTACATGACGATCAGTCAGCGGAAATTTAAAGCCTACCAACATAATCCAATGTGCTGTTGTTGTTTTGATGAATTTTCTAAATTTGTCCTTCATGAACAATAATTGGGAAACGTAAAGCGTATTATGCAATGTCTCTGGAAGTTTTGCATTTGTGCTAATTATTACACTTTGCTTTTGTGACGGGTTTATGCTTTTATGTTCATTTTTGCTGCGAAATCAATGTCTGCGCGCATTTATGATATGATGTCGCTGTTAATCATTACAGGATAACTCGCGTATCTTTGTTCCTGCTGGGAAAATTGTTAATATCTCTGTTTCATTCTGCATTTTATGCAGAAACTCATGACGAATTCGAGTGCGCGTTTTATCAAGTTAAGTCAAATTTCGGAAAGTTGGGACATACCTTGACTGAAAACGTCGCAGTTTGATATGGTCGTTGTGATTTCTACAATATCTTAATGATTTCATTGCATCTACTTACAATTTTAGGGTTTTCCGGCCATCGGATGCTTTCAAGTAAAAAACATTTTGAAGGAGCACCTCGGTAACAATAAGGTAAAAGTAACGAATTGCTTATTTCGATTTTTAATCTGTTCTTGTAATAATAAATTCGTAGAAATACATTGTTATTACTTTAAACCAATGTTGGATTTCGGTTTTTTGCAGTATTTAAGTTAGAAGCCGTTTATAGCTTTTCAGATCTTTCTTTTGATAAAAATTAGTTACTTTCGCGATGCCACTTGTCTAAATTAGCCCAAGAAATAGTCTATCACGTCAGAAATATACTCGTCTTTCATTTTACAGACTAACATTAAGTTAATTTCATCTATTGTACTGCGCGACACGTTTATATCTTTTGTCTAGAGGGTAGAAAGAGTGCCAATTATATCTTTCTGTTTACGAGTTTTCCGGCCTAAGTCACTGATTACGTTGTCATCTGTACGGTTTTGTCTAGCTTTACAAAATTTTAGCAAATGATTCACAGTTAGTATATGAATATTCGATATGAGCATTATGCTCGTTTTGTAACTGAATATTCCTAAGTTGAATCTGAGCTTTTTAGTTGCGTTGCTTAGTTTATTCGGTTGTAATAAACATGTTAATTTCTGATTATAATGAAATTTTATCTTCGGATCAGCACGCATTTTAAAGATTTCGCAAACCTTTACCATTCAGGTGGCGTCTAAGGTATTTTCTCAATTTTCTCTTCATTTGCTTAGTTCATCAGATATCGATAATATTTTTTTGTCCATTTTGCCTATCAGTTTTCGTACTTCGTTCGCAGTATTGATGCATGGCATATACCGGCAGTAGCTGTCGAACCTTGATTAAGGCTTTACAGGAGAGGCATTAGGTACTTTAAAGCTGATCATTCTAGTTTTGTTTGCAATGCCCTGAAAAGTGGTCATGAGGGTAAAAACAACTATTTCACGGTTGGAAATATATTTCCGATACAGAGACAAAATGACGCTGTTAATCAAGGAGCCGCATCAGATCGCAACCAGTCAAATTAGAGCTATCAATGATTTCGTCGACTCCTTTGACATTGCCGCAGCATGGAGCAATATCAGTTGCGAAA